ACAGTCTCTTTTTATTACAAATAAGAGGTCTTCGGTGGAACCTGGGGGTGTTCCCTTGTTGGTGGCTATGCTTGGAGCAAGGGTGGGGGATGCAGAAGCCTCACTGTGGCCTGACTTCTGGGGCACAACAAATGCCAAGGGTTTCTCTGGGCTCTTTACAGAATACATGGGCAGGTTCAGGAGCAGAAGCTGAGCTCAGGGGGCTCCTAAACACAGGGTGGGCTTTAGAGCTGGGCATCACAGATTGATCTTTTTGAAGGGCTGCAGACACCATCTGGAAGCTGTTGGACCTTTAGGAGGTCTGAGTACATCATGACATTAGGTGTGGGCCTCTGAGCTTCATCCATTATTTGCAATAGGGCTGAGCCCTCCCTCCTGTATTGTCCTGGTGCCCTCTGAGTGTGTGCTGGTTTCTGGCAGTGAGAAAAGTTTAATGTGCCTTTTATTCCCTGAGCCTCACTAGGAAGTTTCTATTGTTGGCAGGGATGATTCTGTCATTGGGAGGTCTGTGTGTTCTCTGAGTAAGGGAATCTACAGACCTCAGAGCACATCTTGGCTTTCTCGCTGAAATTCCTATGTGTTTAAGGATTCAGATGCTTTATATGTTTCCGGACATATCCACGGATTGTTCTTTTTGATCTTTAAATGACAGCTTTAATTTCCTCCCTTAGTCATGGTCTATTGACCCCTTTGACTCTGGCATAAATGAGGGAACACAGGCAGGGCTGTTGTGTTGCTAAGGAAAGCAGACAGGGCTGCCTTGTTGCTGAGAAAAAGCAGGCAGGCCTGTCTTGTTACATAGTTTCATTTTATTCCCCAATGTTGGTAAATAAAACCTCCAGGTTGGTCTTTTAGGAGCTTCCCATGATCATTGTTCCATTCCTTTTCCCTGCTCTTATCATACTGCCTTTCTATTTAAATTCATTTTTACTTTTAATTTTTGTCAGAAACAAAGAAGCAATTAAAAAATCTATATGCAATGTTAATTTTTATTCTTGAATTACTAAAATACATGAAGAACATGTCAATTAAAGCAGCATAAAATGGCAGATGGTGTGAGCTTGATCACTGTCCCTCTACTCTGTCTCTCTTGCTCTACCCTGAGGTGACCACTACGACTAGTTAGTTATGCATCCCTACATCTAAACCAAATGTGTACAAAAAACAGCCTATTAAAAAGAGACTTGCCCACAGCTATCCAAGTCCCTCAAACTGCTATCTTAGTAGGAGGCCAAATTTCCATTCACACTATGAAGATTCAAACGTCTACACAGGTTCACAGACCTGAGCCAAGTCTGTGCTGGAACCAGGAATGAAGTTGGTAACTTATTGTTCACTAAGGGAGAAGTCTGCAATAGCTAGTATCAGGTATGAGGACCAAGGAGTTACACAGGCGTTTTAGAGGTTACTAGACTTTGGGTTTTAACTTTTGTAATTCCAAGTTTCTCTTCAGATCAAATATTAGGCCTGCACAACAACAGCCCATGAGGAAGTGATGTCCAGAACTTGTGTAAGTGTCTCAGACTATTTGAATTTGTTTTTACGAAATTGTCTTTTTTTCTACAATCCACACCAATGGCCAAATAGGTGTAGAAAAATAAGGCCACTTCCACCAAACCAGATTGTTGGTGTTCAAGACCTAACTTGAGTCCACTCCATTTGATGTAATACTGTTCAAAGGAACATTCATTCAGTGAGGAGTAAAACATTGTACATCTGTTAGAGATAGATGTTAACAGATATCCTTGACTTTTAACGTTATAGGTGGTATTTGATCCAGATGCTGGTGGCATATACCTGTAATCCTGGCTACTCAGCATTCTAGTTTGAAGCCACTCAGGTCCAGAATGTCTGTGAGAATTTTATCTCCAATAACCCCTAATAAGCCTGAAGTAGAGTTGTGGTTCAAGTGGTAGAGCAATAATCTTGGACACAAAAGCTCAGGAACAGCACCCAGGCCTTCAGTTCAAGTGCCAGGGCTAGCAAACACATACCAAAAATGTGGTATTTGCAACCAAAGAATAAATTTTAATTTGATCTCTTTTTAGCCAATTTAATGTCCGAGCTCTTGATCTGCAAGCCTCTTGGCCACTCTACACCTGGAGAATAACAATTATTCAAGTGGAAAAGAAGGATCTAGAATGATTCACCATTAGAGATGCTGATGTTTGAAAGACTATGTGAAAAAAAAATACTTCAGTCTCTAAAAGAATATAGCACTCATAGTGGAAACTCTGAGTTTGTTAATTGATGGTCAGTATCTAGGCTTGAACTCAGAACCTGGGCTTTGTCCCTCAAGGCTAGCACTCTACCACTTGAGACACATCTCCACCTCTAGTCTTTTTGGCTGTCAATTAGAGTAAGAGTCCCATGGATTTTCCTATCCGAGCTGGCTTTGAATAACGATCCTCAGATCTCAGCCTCCTGAGTAGCTAGTATTACAAGCTTGAACCTGTGATGGCTAATTGAAATTTAATGGTACCAACTACCAGAAATGGTAGTTAAGACATTTACATCCACCACAAAAGTCCAAGTTAATTTCAGGTTTGGTTTCTCCAACACACTTAAGAGAAAGATCAGTAGAGATCTATCATTAAAACTTAATAGTAGAATTCAAATACCCTTGGCTTATTTTTTAATTGTGAGAATATTACACAAAGGAGTTACAACTACATGGGCAAGACCTTGGCTTATTTTGAGTCCTGCTGAATCCTAGATTTCAGGGACAAATCCCAAAATACAAGTGTTAGGAGGTCAGAGACAGGAGAGTTCCCTGAAATTGCATTAAAATTAATATTAACAATAATATCATTTGTTTAACTACCAATCTAACAAATATACTTAATATATTTTTTTCCAAGCCTTTTCATTTCCTAATAAATGGAGCAATGTCATTATTTTTCATAGAGGCATAGAATTCCATTGTGTATATATACCACATTTTCTTGATCCATTCATCTACTGAGAGGCATCAGGGTTGGTTCCATATCTTCCTTATGGTAAATAATGCTGCAATAATTAACAGTCATGCTGGTAGCTTTAGTGTGGTCTTGTTTGTGATCATTTGGGTAAATGCCCAAAAGTGGGATTGCTGGGAAATAGAGGAACCTCCATATTGCTTTCCAAAGTGGTTGAACAAGTTTACACTCCCACCAACAATGTAGTAATGTTCACTTCTCTCTGCATCCCCTCAAGCATCTGTTGTTATTAGAGTTCTTGATTATTGCCATTCTAACTGGTGTGAGGTTATATCTCTATGGTTTGATTTGCATTTCTTTTATGGCTAGAGAGGTTGAGCATTTCTTCATGTGTCTATTGGCAATCCTTCTTTCCTCTTCAGAGAAGATTCTCTGTAAGTTTTTAGCCCACTTATTTATTGGTCAACTGTTTCTTTGGAGATTTGTTATGTGGGGATTTAATTTTTTGAGTTCCAGGTATATTTTAGATATGAAACCCTTGTCAGTTGTATGGCTAGTGAAGATCTTCTCCCAATCTGTGGGCTTTCTTTTGATCTTGCTAGCTATGCGCTTGGCCATGCAGAAGCTCTGCAATTTTGTGCAATCCCATTTGTTAAACCTTTCTTTGACTTGTTGTGTTTCTAGGTCTCTATTAAGAAAATTTCGGCCTGTGCCAAGGAGACCTAGGATTTCTCCTATACCAACTTTTAAAGTTTTCAGATTGTCTGCTTTGACTCTGAGGTCTTTGATCCATTTGGAGTTGATTCTGGTGCAGAATGATATATAAGAATCTAGCTTTCATTTTCTACAATTAGTTAACCAATTTAGCCAGCACCATTTACTGAAGAAGGTGTCTTCCTTCCATTCTATTTCTTGAGCTCCGTTATCGAAGATTAGTTGGCTATATGTCTGTGTGTTCATTTCTGGGTTTTCAATTCTGTTCCATTGGACCTGAGGTCTGTTCTTATGCAGGTACAATGCTGTTTTGATTACTATGGCTTTGTAGTAGAGTTTGAAATTTGGTATTGATATTCTTCCAGCCCTGTTCTTTATGTTGAGGATTGTTTTTGCTATTCGGGGTCTTTTAATGTACCATATGTATTTTTGGATTGCCTCTTCTAAATCCTTGAAGAATGAGGTTGGAATATTGATTGGTATTGCATTGAATTTGGAGATATCCTTCGGAAGTATGGCCATTTTCCCGATCTTGATCTTTCAAATCCAGAAGCATGGGAGTTTTTTCCACTTTCTAAGTTCTGTTTTGATTTCCTTTTTCACGTTTTCAAAGTTTTCTTCATAGATGTCCTTCAATTCTTTGGTTAAGTTAATTCTTCGGTATTTTTTTTTTTTTGTGGGGCTATTACGAATGGAGTTGCTTTCTTAATTTCAGCCTCACTATTTCTTTGTTGGCATACAGAAAAGCCATTGATTTTTGAGGGTTAATTTTATACCCTGCTACTTTGCCAAAGTTTTGAAACAGCTTGAGTAATTTGGGAGTGGGGTCTGTGGGATTCTTTAAACACAAGTGTAAGGTCCATTCCTGGACGGCGAACAGACCTCACCCAGTACCTGCGTTACCTAGGCAACTGGGATACCTGGAAGAGGTCACATCCGCATCCGCTGAGGTCACATCTTAACCTGATGTGGCCACACCTTTCTCCCACCTGATCCCACTTCCCTTTACCTGGACACACCCTTCCCCACCCCCTACCCTATATAAGGCCTAAACCGCGGCCAGACCGCCCTTTTTTTTTTCCTTTTGCCAGCCGCGTGGAGTGCCAACCTTGCCTGGTCCCAGCAGGTCTACTGAATAAACCTACCCCTTACCTGAATACCACGTGCGTGGTGCAGTTCTTACTCGGCCACCTCTTTTTAAAAACCTAACATAAATGGTGCCGTGACTCGGATAAAGGGCTTAAAGTCAGGATAGCTGGATTCCTCTCTGTTTTTTTTCCTTTTCTTTTCTTTTTTTTCGTTTTTTGTTTGTTTTCCCCTTTTTGCTCTGAGGAATACCCACAGTTCTGACGGCCTTTTATGAACCCGTCTATCTGCTGCGGACACAGTGCATCAATTCTATTGCTGGCCTCTGCATCTTCCTCCACACTTCTACATTTTGGTGAGTGACCTACTCTCTAAGGGTTCTCTGTCGTTCAGTCTCTTTCCAGATACCACGCCGGAGAACCTACTAGGCCTTTACTTGACTCTGGTTGCTCGTCACTTCTCTCTAGAGGGCTCGGTGGTAAGTTGGGACACCGCTTCCATTCAGTAAGCCCTCCTTCACTCACTAAATTTTCCTCTTAAGTTTTTCTCTTTTACATTTCCAATGGGTTGTTGTAAGTCACGCCCAAAGGAGGAAACTCCATTGAAATGCCTCCTGCGTTCCCTGGATGTCTTGTCTATTGACTGCATCAACAAGAAACAACTGATTTATTATTGCACTCAAGTTTGGCCACAGTACCAACTGGATAATCGTTCTCGATGGCCCAAAGACGGGACTTTTGACTACGTCATTCTCAGAGATTTAGACGATTTTTGCCGTCGTAATGGTAAATGGTCTGAGGTCATTCATATTCAGCCATTCTTTGCTCTCCGGGACAACCCTGCCCTATGCCAATCATGCCCGGCCTTTCCACTCCTCCTGGCACGTGGAGAACCCAGCTCTGATAGCGCAGGGCCCCATCCGGAGCCTGATGTGGCTGACCCTCTTTTTGACTCTGCCCCTCTTCCTGCTGAGCATCTGGTGCCTTCCCCACCTTCTTCACTCTCCTCTCCTTCACCCTCTCTCTCTTCCCCCCCTGCAGCTCACACCCGGTCTCGCACTGGTGGCACACAACCTCCACCAGACCCCATGTGCCCTTTGCGAGAGGTGGCAGGGGCTGAAGGTGTAATTAGGGTGCATGCGCCATTCTCAATGTTTGATATTGCTCAGATTGAGAAGAGGCTGGGATCTTATGCCCAAGATTCTAATAATTATGTTAAGCAGTTTAAGAACCTGGCTCAGACCTATGACCTTACTTGGCAGGACATATATCTAATACTATCCTCTACCCTTACTGCTGAGGAAAAAGAAAGGGTGTGGACTGCAGCCCAGGCACATGCCGATGAAGCTCACCGCCTAGATATTAACTTTCCAGTGGGAGCAACAGCTGTGCCTAGGGAAGAGCCCAATTGGAATTATCAACATAATGCTCCTGGGCGGGAAAGCAGAAATAGGATGATAACTTGCTTAGTGGCTGGCCTTCAAAAGGCAGCCTATCTCCCTGTTAATTATGACAAATTAAACCACATTACTCAAAGGCCCAATGAAAACCCGGCAGAATTTCTTGAGCGCCTTACAGTAGCGCTCCAGCGCTATACAAGGCTGGACCCAGAGTCACCAGAGGCTAAGGTGGTTCTCAATACGCATTTTATTGCCCAATCAGCCCCTGATATTAGGAAAAAGTTAAAAAAGGCTGAGAACGGTCCTCAGACCCCTCAACGAGATCTGGTGAGTATGGCATTTAAAGTTTTCAATAATCGAGAGGAACAGGAGATTGCCGATAAGACTGCCCGTGAGAGGGAGAACTATCAAATCCTGGCTGCTGCCATCCGGCCTCCTCTGAGGAGAGGCACCCAACATACACCACCTGGAGCATGCTTCAAGTGTGGGCAAGAGGGCCACTGGGCGAAATTCTGTCCCTCACCACGACCTCCACCTGGACCCTGCCCAAGGTGTGGGCAGCAAGGACATTGGGGAGTCGATTGCCCCTCCTCACCTCCACAAGGTAGGCCAGCCCCTCCCCCACCCCGCCCACCCAGGCAGGCGGAGCCAGACAGGTCGGAGATTTTCTGCTTGGCTACAGAATGAAGGTGCCCAGGGCCACCTGCTCCCAACAACCAGACCATCACAATGACGGAGCCCAGGGTGTGTTTCTATGTAGCCGGTAAGTTAATATCTTTTCTCTTGGATACGGGAGCGACTTACTCGGTGCTATGTCAATATACAGGCAAGACTTTTCCCTCCCAGATCTCGGTGGTGGGTGTAGATGGCCTACCTACCTGTCCCCCAACTACAGGACCAGTATCATGTAAAATAGAAGACTTTCCCTTTTCACACTCCTTCCTAATCCTACCTCACTGTCCTACCCCACTCCTAGGAAGGGACTTGCTCTCTAAATTTCAAGTCTCCCTTTCATTCCATATCCCCAAACAGCCTACACCTGTTCTACTTTTATCTTTAGATGAACCTCCACCTGTAACTTCCCAACTAGATCCTTTCCCTTTACCTCCAGATCTTGTCAACCCTCTTATCTGGGATACTTCCACTCCTACTATGGCTAGACACCATACTCCTGTCCTGATTAAACTTAAAAACCCTACCCATTTTCCTGGTACTTCCCAATACCCCATTTCCCTTAGGCACAGGCAAGGTTTAAAACCCATCATCCTTCGCCTTATTAAACAAGGACTTCTCAGACCCACTAACTCCCCCTTTAACACCCCTATCCTGCCAGTAGTTAAACCTGATGGGACCTACCGCCTAGTCCAGGACCTGCGCACTATTAATGCTGCAGTCCTTCCCATTCATCCTGTTGTGCCTAACCCATATACCCTCCTTTCACAGATACCTCCTGGTACCACCCACTTCTCAGTGCTGGACCTCAAGGATGCATTCTTCACAATCCCCCTGCATCCCGACTGCCAAGATTTCTTTGCTTTTACTTGGGTGGACCCAGACACTTCAAGGGCACAACAGCTGACCTGGACGGTCCTCCCTCAAGGGTTCCGAGACAGTCCCCATTTCTTTGGACAGGCTTTAGCAAAGGATCTCCTCTCTCTTCAGGTGTCTCCTAGCATTGTTCTCCAGTATGTGGATGATCTTTTGCTTTGCAGCCCTTCCTTTGAGTTGGCTCGCCAACATACAGCTGACCTCCTCAACTTCCTGTTGACAAAAGGATATAGAGTCTCTCCTTCAAAGGCCCAGATAGCGAAGTCAGAGGTAACATACTTGGGTTTGTCCATAACTCCTACAGAGAGAAGAATTACTCTTGATAGAAAAGCCTACATTGAGTCTCTCTCTGTCCCACAGACCAAGGAGGACATTCTGTCTTTCCTGGGACTTGCAGGCTTCCTTCGTATTTGGATACCCGGTTTTGCCACATTGGCCAAACCTCTTTATGAGGCATCCAAAGGTTCCCTATTGGAGCCACCAGACCCCACAAAGCCCATTGACACCCCATTTAAAGTTCTGAAGCAAGCGCTTCTTCGGGCTCCAGCACTGGCTCTACCCAACCTCAAGGAACCCTTTATACTCTATGTCACTGAGAAGTGGGGAATTGGCCTTGGGGTTCTTGGACAAATGTCAGGCCCCTCCTTTAGACCTGTGGCCTACCTCTCAAAACAGCTAGACCCAACGGTAAAAGGCTGGCCAGCATGTCTTCGAGCTTTGGCAGCAGCAGCCACCTTAGCACAGGAGAGCACAAAACTCACTTTTGGCCAACCCACTACCATTCGCTCTCCCCACAGACTAAAGGACCTTTTGTCTCATAAATCCCTGTCTTCCCTTTCCCCTTCCCGCCTACAGCTGTTTCATGTTACTTTTATTCAAAACCCTGACTTTTCACTGGAAAGCTGCTCCCCGCTCAATCCAGCTACCTTGCTTCCATCCAATTCTAACCCTCTTTCCCATTCCTGTACAGAGACCTTGGAGGAATTCACACCCCATTTTACAGGTATCTCGGAAACTCCTCTTCCTGACCCAGAAGACACCTGGTACATCGATGGCAGTTCCATATCTACCTCTTCAGGAAGCCGAGTTGCAGGCTATGCCATCGTTAATAACTCTACCATTCTTGAAAGCAGCCCTCTGCCCCCTAGCACTACCTCACAAAAGGCAGAACTTATAGCTTTAACTAGGGCCTTAATTCTAGCAAAGGGTCGGAAGATTAATATTTATACAGACTCAAAATATGCCTATCATATTCTCCATTCTCATGCAGCAATCTGGAAGGAGCGTGGCTTCCTGACCACCAAAGGGACTCCCATTACTAATGCCTCACTTATTCTTAAACTATTAGAAGCTGCTTCCCTTCCCCAGCAGGTAGCGGTCATCCACTGCAGAGGACACCAGACAGGATTGGATGCCATTACAGTCGGCAATTCAAAAGCAGACCGGGAGGCAAAGCTAGCAGCCCAGAGACAACTCCAGGGACAACTTCCAGCTCCCTTGCTACTGGTATTGCCTTCAATTCAACCCTCTTATACCCCACAGGAGCTCGAGGAACTTACGCACCAGGGAGCCTCCCAGGAAGCACAGGGATGGTGGTCCCTGGAAGGACGAGTTGTTCTTCCCGAGGCACAAGCAGACAGCTTTCTTTCCCAGGTTCACCAGGCGCTGCACATTGGATACAAGCCTCTCTCCCACCTTCTTAAACCTTTAATCCATTGCCCTAGCCTAACTACTCGACTAAAGGCTATTACCCAAGCCTGCCCCACATGTTCTCTTACCTCCTCACAGGGTGGTCTCCGACCAGCTGCATTCCCCACACACCAAGCACGGGGACATACCCCAGGGGAAGACTGGCAGATAGACTTCACTCACATGCCCAGATGTAAGCGGCTGAAATACCTTCTAACTATGGTTGATACCTTTTCAGGATGGATTGAAGCCTATCCCACAACGTTGGAGACTGCTGACACTGTTGCCTCTGTCCTTATTAAAGAAATTATTCCTAGGTTTGGCTTACCCAGGTCACTTCAGTCTGACAATGGACCTGCTTTCATCTCCAAAGTGACCCAACAGGTGGCATCCTCTCTAAACATCCAGTGGAATCTTCACATTCCTTATAGACCTCAGTCTTCTGGAAAGGTTGAAAGAGCTAATGCGCTCCTCAAAACACAACTTACTAAACTTTCTCTAGAGCTCCAGCAATCCTGGCCAGAACTGTTACCCCTGGCGCTCACCCGCTTACGTGTTTCTCCCCGCAGCCCTACTTTCCTCAGCCCCTTTGAGTTAATGTATGGAAGACCTTTTCTCCTAGGTAATTTCCCTACTGACAATGCCAAGACTCCACTAATAGACTACCTTCCCGTCCTAACCTTTCTTAGGCACATGCTGCGCCAACATGCTGACCAGTGTCTCCCTCAGCCTCATCAAGGCCCCTTTCCCACTCCCCCAATTTTGCCTGGTGATCAAGTGTTTCTCAAGACCCTTAATCCATCTGGTTTACACCCTAAGTGGACAGGCCCTCACCAGGTTCTGCTGACAACCCCCACCGCAGTCAAGCTCAATGGACAGCCCCAGTGGATTCACCTGTCAAGAATAAAAAGGGCTCCTGTTCCTGCCCCTTCTATACCAACCCTGACCTCCAGGTACACCTGTTCCCCCCTCGGGCCTACCAAGGTAAGGCTGTCTCGCATCCCTGAAGATCCGGGTGAGTAAAACTGAGCTAACTGCTCTCCTCCCCAAAGACCTCACTATCTCATCCCTTAGGACACCTCCAAGCCATGGACATCCAATCTTTTCTTTCCAGTAATATATTTGCTTTTCATCTTTGTTCAGCCCCCTGCCTGAGAAGACTTCCTCCAGATTTCATCTAAGAGACTCGCTTCTTGCAGACATCATGGAACTGGCAGACCTGGAAGCAGTCACCTTCTACTAGGTCACCCCTCTTCCTCCCCCCCCCTTTCCTTTTTCAGCCATGCTTCTCCACCATGCTGGGTGGGGGCAACAGTTCAGTCAAATTAACTTCTTTTCCTGCCTGAATAGTGCATGGTGTTCTTTTCATCAGCTAATTTCCTAACCACCCCTTTTTTGTGAACTGAACTGCCTTGACACTATGCGAGATTTTTCACCGATACCATTTCTGGCCTTCACATCCACGTCCACACCACTTCTCTACTCTGGTGAGTGAAACTACTCTACGGCTCTCTGTTACTCAGTCTCTGTCCAGACGTGGCGCCACGCCAGAGAGCTCCTACGGCCTTTAGCTGAAAGGCTGGTCACCTCTGAAGCCGAGGACGCTTGGCTTTGGGGGCTTGGCCATTTCTCTCTAGAGGGCTCTGGGGGAAGTCGGGACGCCGCTTCTGCCTGGTAAGCTCTCCTTCACTCACCAGACTGACTCTACAACTTTTTGGCTTGTGCCCTGAAGAATGCGACGCAGGCTGGGTCCCGGGGACCCCCCTCTAGGTTCCCTCTCAAAGGCTAGCCATTCTAGGTTTAAAAAAAAAAAAAAAAAAAAAAAAAAAAAATTGTCAGAGTTCCTATTTGTTCAGGTTTCCGTCAATGCCTCATAAAACTTCTCCAGACTTCGTCCAAGAGACTTGCCTCCTCCAGACTTCATCGAAGGACTCAACACCCAAGTGACAGCTGCAGCCTGCTGCCTTCTCCCAGCATGGACCACATCCCAGCCTTTTACCCCTACGACGCCCTTTGCCAGCAGGAAGTAGCCAGAGAGAGTCTTCGCCCTTTTTCATAATTATCAAAAGGCTGGAATGTAAGGTCCATTCCTGGACGGCGAACAGACCTCACCCAGTACCTGCGTTACCTAGGCAACTGGGATACCTGGAAGAGGTCACATCCGCATCCGCTGAGGTCACATCTTAACCTGATGTGGCCACACCTTTCTCCCACCTGATCCCACTTCCCTTTACCTGGACACACCCTTCCCCACCCCCTACCCTATATAAGGCCTAAACCGCGGCCAGACCGCCCTTTTTTTTTTCCTTTTGCCAGCCGCGTGGAGTGCCAACCTTGCCTGGTCCCAGCAGGTCTACTGAATAAACCTACCCCTTACCTGAATACCACGTGCGTGGTGCAGTTCTTACTCGGCCACCTCTTTTTAAAAACCTAACAACAAGATCATGTCATCTGCAAAGAAGGAGAGTTTTACTTCTTCTTTCCCTATTTGGATCCCCTTTATAATTGCATCTAGTCTTATTTGTAGCTAGGCATTCTAATACTAGATTGAAGAGAAGTGGAGAGAGTGGACATCCTTGTCTAGTTCCTGAGGTAAGAGGAAATAGCTTTAGTTTTTCACCATTAACTGTAATGCTGGCTGTAGGTTTGTCATATACAGCCTTTATAGTATTGAGGAATGTTCCATGGATTCCTAATTTTTCCAGAACCTTCATCATAAAGGGGTGTTTGATCTTGTCAAATGCTTTTTCTGCATCTATTGATATAACCATGTGTTTCTTATCCCTGCTCCTATTTATGTGATGAATTATACTAATTGATTTGCGTATATTGAACCAGCTTTGCCTCCCTGAAATGAATCCTGTTTGATCGTGGTGTATGATTTTTTGGATGAATTGTTGAAGTCGATTGGCCAAAATTTTGTTGAGAAGTTTTTCATGAATGTTCATCCTAGAAATGGGTCTATGGTTCTCTTTCTTTGATAAGACCCTGCCTGGTTTTTGATGAGGGCTATGATAGCTTCATAGAATGAGTTCCGTAGTGAACTTCCTCTTTCAATTTCATTGAAGATTTGGAGGGGTATTAATGTGAGCTCTGCTTTGAAGACCTTGTAGAATTCCGCTGTGAAACCATCTGGACCTGGGCTTTTCTTAGATGAGAGATCTCTTATTACTGTTTATATTTCAGTGATTGTTATGGGCCTGTTAAGGTGATTTAACTCACCTTGGCTTAGTTTTGGCATGTCAGTATTTGCTAGGAAATGGTCCATTTCTGCCAAGTTATCAAACTTATTAGCATAAAGTTTTGAGAAGTATTTCCTTATAATGTTCTGAATCTTGGTGGTTTCTCTGGTGATGTTTCCATTCTCATCTCTGAGTTCATTTATTTGGGTATGTTCTTTTCTTTTTCTCATAAGATTTGCTAAGGGTCTGTCAATTTTGTTAATTTTTTCGCAGAACCAACTCTTTGTTTCATTGATTCTTTATATGGCTCTTTTGGATTCTAATTCATTCAATTCTGATTTAATTTCTCTGTCCATTGGGCTGGCGTTTATTCTGCTGCTCTTTCTGAAGGAGGCTCAGATGTCTCATTAAATTGTTGGTTTCAGATCTCTCCAATATGTTGATATAGGAACTCAGAGCTATAAACTTGCCTCTGAGTACTACCTTTGCTGTATCCCAGAGGGATTGGTAATTTGTGTGCTCATTTTTGTTGAATATCATGAATATTTGAATTTCATTTCTAATATCTTCCATGACCCACTCATGATTCAGCAGAGTGTTGTTCAGCCTCCATGTGTTACAGGACTTTCTTTAATGGCTTTTGGTGTGGAGTCCTACTTTTAATCCCTTGTGGTCTGAAAGAATGCAAGGTATAACTTCAGTGTTTCTGAATTTGGACAAGTTTGCTTTGTGGCCTAAAATGTGGTCTATTTTGGAAAATGTACCATATGCTGCTGAGAAAAACGTGTATTCTGATGCTGCTGGGTCAAATCTTCGGAAGATGTCTGTTAAATCTAGTTGATCTATGCAGTTGTTTAGATATGCACGTTCTTTGTTGAGTTTTTGCCAAGTTGATCTATCTAGTGGGGATAGTGGTGTGTTAAAGTACCCAACAATTAATGTCTTTGGATCTATGTGGGATTTGAGAGAAAGTTGGGTTTCTTGGATAAATTTGGGTGCTCCATTTGGTGAATAGATATTTAGAATTGTAATATCCTCCTGAAGGAGAGATACATTAATTAGTATGTAGCAACCTTCTTTAACTTTTCTCACTTATTTTAAATTGAATTCTATTTTATCTGATATTAGGATTGCAACTCATGCCTGTTTATGGGGGCCGTTTGCTTGGTAGAATTTGGTCCAGCCTTTAACATTGAAAATGTGTTTGTTTTTATGGGCAAGATGTGACTCCTGAAGGCAGCAGATAGAAGGTTCTTGCTTTTTAATCCAACTAGTCAGTCTGTCTCTTAATTGGAGAGTTAAGTCCGTTAATGTTGAGAGATAGAACTGAGAAGTATTTGGGAGTTTCTGCCATTTTATCCACCTTCTTTGGGGTTGTGGCAACTGGATTCTTTCTAAGGTTCTTGGATTCTCAGTTTGGCTGTGGTTTCTTGGCCTTTTTGTGGTCTTGTTGGTTTTCTATATGTAGGAAATCTTTAAGAATCTTTTGTAGGGCTGGTTTTGTCAGATATATTGTTTCATTTTTTCTTTGCTATGGAAGGTTTTTATTTGACCTTCGTTTATGAAGGAGAGTTTAGCTTAGTACAGTTTTCTTGGTTGATTGTTATTTGTCTTTACGGTATGGCATACATCATTCCAGGCTCTTCTTGCTTTGATTGTCACTGCTGAGAAATCTGAGGTGATCCTAACTGGTATCCCTTTATAGGTGATTGATCTTTTCTCATTGACAGCTTTATGGTTCTTTTCCTTGGTCTGATTTGATCCTGTGAAGATTATAATGTGATGCTGTGTTGTCCTGTTCTGGTCTTGTCTATTTGGAGTTCTAAAAGCTTCTTGTATCTGAATAGGCTTATCTTTTTGCATGTTTGGGAAGTTCTCTGCTAGGATCCTGTTAAACAAATTTCCTAGACCATTAACTTCTGTTTCTAGGTGTTCCTCTACACATATTATCCTCTGATTAAGCCTTCTGATGGTGTCTTCCAACTGTTGAAAAGATCTATCATATTTCTTGGACTTTTCTTGGATGGTTGTATGTTCTTTCTCCATAATATCTTGGCTGTCTAAATGTCTAAGTCTTCGTAGGAACATAGTAGATATCATTGAATACTAGATACATGGCTTTGGCACTCTCTACTAATACACATTTATTGGCATAGTACCACCTGCCTATCCATGTATGGCTATTTTGACCACCTCTAGGGCTTGATCTCAGTGCCTGCCAAGAATTTCATCCTCGAGTAAGAAGCCAAGTGTGACACCTGTTTTCCTTTTCTGGGAGAATGCTGGGTGTCAGGCATGATGGAGAACAAGTTTACAAATCTAGATGCAATTTGATAGTATGTAAACAATGTCACATATGTTTAGGTGTTCTCATAGTCGGTAAAATAAACGGTAAATAAATGAATAAAACAACAAATACAATGAATAACCACACCAAACATGATATAGACTGAACATGTATATGGAAGTTCAATCCTATCTTTAAAATATATATAAGGAGTATGACTGGGGCATGAATTCAGGCCTAGGGAACAGGCCTGAATTTCTGGTCTTCAAGCATCGTGAGCTTCCCCTTCCCCCACAGTGCAACATAGTTACCCTGTCCCTAAGTTAAAATCCCAGCCCTTGCAGATAAAAAGCACACATTCCAAGCCAAGGAGTTTCATGAGCATTTTTAATATTTTTTTAAAGTTCACTTTGACTTTATTTGAAACATTTTGATTTTATAACATGAGATTTTTTTTTCAAAAAACGTGTTTAAATTTTACACTTCAGCATAGCACATTGGTGGTTTTGACCATCTGCCATGAAGAGTGAGAATGAAAATGAGGATATCATTTCTCCCTTGAAGTTTGGGACAGTTGATGTTATTTCTTATTTTTTCTATTTTTTTTTAATTTGTCGATTGTGGGGCTTGGTTGCTGTCCCTGTGCTCAAGGCAAATGCTCAAGTACTTGAGCCACAGCACCACTTC